TTTTTTCAAAATTTTAGATCCATCTTGTTCTAGAACTATATATTTTGTTTATATTTTCACTCTTATATTATGTATCAGGTAAAACCGCTATCAAATTTTATTTTCAAATGRCACCCTATTCTTAAAATTTCATAAACTAAATAGGCTATTTTTTCAATGAATTTTCACGTTTAAATTTTCATTTTTCGTTAATCCGTTTACAAAAATAGCCTTTCAAAGTTGGGTGGTGTTTGTGTGTTATAGGTGTATGTTAGGTGATATTTACACAAAAACACCATAATATGAGCATAGGCGGATAGGCCTACCGGGCAACCGGACATTTCCCGGTGGGCCCCCCTTCGTATTTAGTAATGGGGCCCTTTAATATCATATATTATTMAATTTTTTTTTCATGTGGAGGCCCCTTTTTAAAATTTTCCGGTAGACCAAAAATGACCTATCCAACCATGCATATGAGTGTTGTTCGATAAAAGCATCACCCTGTATAATASCAATATTTAGTAACCTGCAAGAACATTAAGTTTTTCGATTCAACTGGTATTATAGATATTAATCAAAAAACAAAATGCACAGAGCAACAATTACCTACATTTTTATTGCGAACCTTGAATCTCCAAAATTATTGTGTCTAAATTATTCTAAAATATCACGGGGTGACTAATCCTAAATGTGGTTAAATGTATGTGTATGTGTTTATTAAAATGTATAAATGGTCGTGAATAATCGTATAAATCATATGTAATTTTTGTCTGTCTAACTGAAAGCCAACTAAAAATCCAAACACCTTGAAAAATAAAACAAATAATGAATAATTTATGATTCCACAAAATGTTACGATGAAAATGATCCTCAAAATCAATAAAAAAAAAAACAAAAAAAGTTAGTAAGTAGTTAAAAAAAAAAAATCGCATGTAATAATTTAACAATATCTTATTTCATATAAATACTTTTCAGAGTTTTTATGTATTTGTTTAAAATTATTTTTTAATCCAGAACTGAGCTATTGATTTTACAGTGATGTGTGTTTTTGTTTCTTTTAATTTTTTTTCGATTAC